ACCCTTCGAGGGCCCCTTCGGGCTGATGAATCTCCTCTGCAATGCGATTCTGATCACTATTTCTCCTAATTATAATAAATAAACGATTATATCCATGCAAAATAACTTCAGCAAGATACCTACGATTCATGAAGATTTTGTAACTGACGCTTCACCGCTAACGATCGTCGAGTTCATTTATGGCGTCTAGATAAGGGTATCGTTGGCTTGGGCATCGCGATTAAAAAACACTTTTGTCGGGGCTGTGATAGATAAATTATTGTTAACACGTATTCAACGATAACATTTATTAACACAAAACACAACTACAAAACACTACGACAAAATAACAAGTAAAATATGAGGGGCTACGTGGCTTGGAAGGACTTACTCTCAGTGAATAGAATCGATGTTATTCGTTCGACAAATTGCACCAGAAAAGACTCTTGTCTCTAGATTTATACCCAGGTGGCGAAACGGAAGTTCAGTTCAGCCACAACACACATTTCGAGAATTCGACCACTCGATTTTCGAGTGTTCCATTACAGTGTTCGATTTGGATGACTGCTTGACAATAAAGAAATTACATGTTTTTATACTAAGCAGTTGTAGGAAAAGTCTCTACACTTTTTTGTCAGAAAAATTTAAATCGAAAGAAACACTTTTGAATATAGAATAAATAAATATTTTCCTATTCCCAATCCGACCCTGTGCTACATTTTACAATGGCTCTTCCTCTCTCCCTCACCAGACGTGTGGGAGGAGCTACCTGACGGGCCTGTCATTTAAAAGAAATTCATCTACTATTCTGACTCCAGATTCAAAAGTAATAATTAGTTTTCACTAGTCGACGGCTGAAGCAAAACTTTATTAGTTGACTTTGATAAAATTTGATATTTCCCAATTTCGAAAGGCATAATGCAAGGAAATCAAATTCGTATAAATAACACATTCTTATTAAATTAATAACAAAATAAAGGAAACATTAAAAAGAAAAATGAGAAAGTCGTTTAACTGAGAAAAATGATAGGCTTCAATACCGAAATGGAATAACACCAAAATATTCGTTAGTTTTGATGGTGGAATTGAAGAAAAATGTCCAAAAATGAGAGAGAGAATACTTTTTATCCATCTAATATTCGAAAAATATTTTTTTAATTATTTTTCCTTTATACACTCATACAATCTTTCCTCAATCAGAATAAGAAACATCGTTTCTGACTCCTTTTTTTTCAGGGATGAAGACCCTTAAGAATAACAAAGATGAAAGTTCAATTTCAAAAAAATCGGGAGTGTATAAATTATCATGTGGGCCATGTCCGATGTTTTAAATAGGTTATATAGGTATATGTTTTATATAGGTCAAACTGGAAGAACGTTCAAAGCCCGCATGAAGGAACACAGAAATAGTTTCCAAAAAGGGAAAATCAACTTCACATATGCCACTCATTTAATACCAGAAGAACATGAGGTCAACCATGAATTCAAACCCCTCCATTTCCAGAAGAAAGGTTTAAACCTGTTGGAGATAATTGAAATATACAAATATACTCTCAATATCTCATGAACGATCAAACTGAACTGAATGATTCGTCATTATTAAATCTGTTTATTTTCAGGTGAGAAAAGTTAAGTATAATTGCGGTAGTTTTGGAAATTCAATTTATTCATATAGTAATACGGTAAGAGTATGAAATAGTTGTTATTTAGAAGTAACTTAGAATATAGAATTTATGTGAAATCTAAAATTCGGCTGACGTTGACAAAATGAAGATAAGATTAAAATGCAGCTCTCGACAAAATTATTCGCAAAGGGTATACAAAAATAAGAATGTAGAGATAATAGTCATACCTTAAAAAAGTGTGTCGATAAAAATTTGATTAGTGACAGCAATCGATCAATTATTATCTTATATTTCAAAAATGTGATATTGATTGAATTCAAAATTCAACTTTAAACGTACTTTTGATAATTTCATCAAAAGATACAGCCTCTTGCCGTATCTTTTTGTCTGTCTGAATACGATTAACTCAAAAACTACCGAACGGATTTTGATACGGTTTTCATCATATGAAAGAAGTGATTGAAGAGAAAGGTTGATGTGTATAATTCATCAATATACAGGGTTTAACAAAAAGGTAGATCATAAATTCAACCACATAATAATAATGATAATAAATGTCTTTATTGTTCACAACTAATAAGGTTCAACAGTTTATGAACAGTATGGACGAAAATATGAATACATTCTAAACAAAAGGCGGAGTTCAATTTTTATAACGATAAATCGTTATTAATTGTTCTTAATTAAGATAGTATTCACGGATGAACGGAGTGATTAAGAGGAAGGTTTATATGAATAGTTCTCAAACATGTCTTCAGATGAGTGAACTAGTAGCTATCCTACGTATTATTATGACAACTGTGAGAAACATGAGTTTTATCATGTACTAAAAGTGATTAAAATTAAAAGACTCAAAATTAAGTAATAGATTATCTTTTAATCTCCTCAAACTGCAGTACTACAATCAGAATGTATCGAGAGGTTTCACTGCGTTTTCTTCGTAAATCTTCAGCCATTTTTGATAAATTTCTCCTTTGGGGTTTTTCTGAATGCTCAAATTTGTATCGATGTTCAAATATTGGAAGTTATCGGGTGTCACTTTGGGCCACATAAGATTCTGGAACAAACTAGTTTTCTCTGGCGTGGGATTTCTGAAAACAAAAATAATTGCTTAAAGACATGACAAAGAACATCATAATATCAACAGCTTCGATTTTCAGTAATTATGAAACTAGATTTACTTGTATAAAACTCTCGCGAAATCAGTTGCGAACATATGAGTTAATACATATTGATGTACTCCTTGATCTTTTGCTGTTTATGGAATTTCGTTACGTCGCTATGAGTTACGTCGTTATGAGTGAAAAATGATACATCTTATGTAACTCCCTCCGAATTGAAAATGAATTCACGAAATTTCGTTGATCCAGAATTCGACGATTTGGTTGCTCAGTTATGTTTTGATGCCGCAGAAGAATCCCGATGTATAAATAAGAAAATTATCGACATATTATACAGAACGGTCACTAACAACATTCAATAAACTACCAGCTGAACCGAATAACTTGATAGGTATTTGATATTGTTGATTTAATAAAAAATACTATCAGGTAGTTTCAAAAAATTTGTCAGTTTCAATGTCATGTGCTTTCGGAACCCCATATCTTAATAAATGTTCATTCTACTGTGTCGTGGTGTATACTGACTGATGGAGAATTTTGAACTCTATATATTGAGGTTTTTTCCCAAATTGTGAATCACTTACTTTCTGGGGTACTATCTCCCATTCGGTAGTCCCTCCTAATGGATAGTCTGCTTGATGTCTTCTACAGAAGAAAAGTAGATCTGCGAGCTTATGCAGATGACCTTGTCATCTTGGCAAGGTCCACGTCAGGAAGGGTAGCTTATAATAATCTCCAAAACACGTTGTCCACAGTTGGTGGCTGAGGAAGCAGATGTCTGACAACCCCAGCAAAACTTTGATAACTCCTTTCACCAGGAGGAGACAATTGGACAACCTAACGCCACTTTATCTCAATGGTGCGGTCATTCCATTTGGAACGGAGGTGAAATATCTTGGCATTGTCTTTGATGAAAAGCTCACCTGAAACGCCTACTTGGAAAAAGTACCTATGGACATGTCGAAGGATTTGTGGTGAAACTTTGTTTTTGTGATGATTGTCAGACCAATGATCACTTATGGTGCGATTGCTTGGTGACCGAAGGCTTTAGAGAAAACGGCCTAGGCGAAGCTCTCTGGCTTACAAAGACAGGCTTGACTGGCCATCAGTGGGGCCATCAGTACGACAACGTCAGCGGCCATGAAGATCCTTCTAGATCTACCTCCTCTCCACATTTTTCTGGAGAGAGAGGCTAGATGGACTGCAGATAGACTTGTGCACATTGGCAATCGCACAAATCAATTTAATGCTGAGTGCAACAGAGTGTTGGTTGACACTGGAGTCACAGCATGATCTCTGACTTTTTGCCTCCAACTATCAACCACGAACTGCCT